GGAATATGTTCCTGGCTTTTTAATCATTGCTGTCTTTTTTATAACTTTGTTAACCATTCCTTTTCAGTAATTCTAAAAATTCAATACTCAAAGTATATTATCAATTTCTCTGTTTATATTTCAGAAATCAACTTAGCTCTTTTTTTAAATCAGAGTGCATTTTTTATTTCTAGTCATTTCAATTTCCTTTTCCCTTCATTAACAGTAACATCTCTCTACTATATAAAGATTTATCCATTACATAATAACCGAAGTTTAGAGCTAGTATATACCTGATCTCACCCACTCTGTATCTCAGCTACTATTTAAGGCCAAATCCAACACCTTCTCTCCCATTGGTATTTTCTTCTCTTCTTATACCCCAGTCATACCTACATAAAAGGCAGTTCCAGATGGCTCACCCAGAACTATCTTAAATATTCTATATTTTGCTTTTTATGGCATTACTCCATTTTTTAACAGTCAGCATTTTAACTCACCCATGTAGATGCTCCATCTACTGGAAGAAGATCAGTTTAGGCTGACGTTTTTTAAAAACTATTTTTAACACTTATTTCCCCCCTTAAAGCACTACCAGCCCTGCAATGGCCTGATTTCCCAGTGTAGCACTCATGAGTGAGATCTTTTTCCAAATACTGATTCACCACTTCCAAGCTGTTCACCTGGGGTATGTTACTTAATATCTAAGTCTTAAAATGGGAATAATGTACCTACAGCATGTAATATAAATATATGTACAGCACCCAGCTCAACAGTCAGAGCATGGTCAACACTCAGTAAGTGACAGCTATTATCTTCCTTCCTCTGACTTCTCCTTAGTCTAATTTCATCCTATTTAATGAGGTCACACAAATTCTCAACTGCTTATATCATTCACTCCCTTTTTCCCTAACCTCCTTTAATCAAATCCTTAGGCCTTCCATCAACCCTATTCTTGATAAGGCAGCCAATACAAAAGAGCCAGTCCCCAAGGGTCTTTCACAGGAGTCCAGCATCTCTGTTGTTCAGCCTCTTTCTTAGTACTACAGAAAACCACATCTCACTCTGCTGTCTGAAATCTTGCCTGTTCCAAGTCAATTTTTTTTTTGAAGACTTTATTTATTTATTTATTTAGAGGGAGCATGTGTGTGGGCGGGGGAAAGGGCAGAGGGGGAGAGAGAGGAAGAGAGAAAGAGAGAAGCAGATTCCACAATGAGCACGACCCCAAAGATCACAACCTGAACTAAAAGCAAGAGTCGGACACTTAACCAACTGAGCCACCCCGGTGCCCCCAAAGTCAAATTTAAGATACCAACTCCACAATACTTAAAGAGCACAATGATCTTCCCTTTACTTCACAAATAAATAGAGTGAATCCCATGCGAATTTATCTTACGTTGCCTCAGAATTTTCCCAGCTCTTTTATGTGTACCAGTAGCATTCTTACATGACCGAACTAGACTATACTCTTCTAAAGAACATGGTCTATGTATTTTGCTTTCAACTATCCCATAACAATGTCTAAATTTAGACAGTTTAAAATCTTAGCCCTATTTATTTCAACATACACACATACGTATTTAAAGCAGTAATGATTTTATTAACTTTTCTTACTTAGGAAGAAGTAAACTCAAGAAAACTCAAAAGACTTAAACACTGAAGTAAAAGCCCTAAGCAGGAGAGAATTCTAGATGTTCTTAACATGGAAGAGGAAATTAAAAATAGGCCAAGACATTGTTTTTACTAAAAATAATCTGCCACAGAATCCAATATCTGATATTATTTATTTTAAATAGTGATCATACTATGGGCCTCTGAAAACAGTCAACACATTAAGGCAGAAATCCTCAATAATTTTTTATGTTCACAAAATTAAAAGCCAGAAAGTGCCTTGGCTAACACCACAAACCTCTTTTCTGCTTACATTAAGTGATGACTAAAGAACTTTTAAGTGATGACTAAAGAACTTTAAAACAAGCATTAAAACATTAAAGGACAAAAAAATCATTAAGCATGTCAAAAATTCACTACGGTTCCTCACTCAAAACCAGCCTCTCATAAAGGAATCACCAGCGTCTTTGCCCTTCTCTTGGCAGGGTGGGAACATAGATCCACAACAGGGTGCTGCTCACAGGCTGCTGGACAGCATTCCAGTTTATTACTCAAGTCTGTTTGTGGGACTTAAAGGCCTGGGCCACAATGGTTTCAGCTTCATCCTGTCAGCTCACATCAGCCCACAGGAGTCCACCCAGCCTTGTCACAACAGGTGGCCCTGGAAGCTTGTACAAATTTTCCAGGTCCAGACTACAAGTCCGTGGAGTCTTATATGACAATAGCCTACACAGAATTCCTCAAGTATGTGAGAAGCACAGTGTCTAGGTAGTTCTAGTGGGGTAACAGCTTCCTGTTACAGCTCAGGGTAAAGAGATGCTCCTACCCCAGAAAAGAGGGAGGTAGGAAGGGAGAAAGATGCACTGAAAGATGGTAGAGAAGGGAGTTAAAAGATCCAGGCTTTCTTCTGTGTCCCAGAACCATAATTCAACAAACACTTACCAGTATCAACTTAACAATGTAGTTTCATAGGATGGATCAGAAGAATCTGGAATCCAGGTCACCTAGAACCTAAACTACTTTCACAGCAACATAAAACCACACACAAAAAACTTTTTACTTAAAAAAGCCCTTATTACTTAACATGACAAAAATGTCCTCAAAAGAGAAATGAGTAAATTAAAATACATAATTAGGAACATTCACCTCAAACATACCCCCACCAAAAAAGCCAGATGTAGATTATGCATTATGCATTATGCATTCCCTTGGTATCCATTCTCAAAGGGATTCTTCTGTTTCTAGCACCAAATACACTTAAATGCTTTGTCTCAAAGATTAGCCAAAATACCTGACAACAATTATGAATATTTGTAAAGACTTGCTAGATCAGGAAGACATGCTTTACAAGTCACCATTAGTTAGGTGGATAAGAGTAAAAAGAAGGTTCTAATAATCTGACAGGACAATAGGCACAATCTAGGAAATGGGGACACACGGTTACCTATCAGTGACAGAACACAAATTTGGTGAATCGCTGGCGCCCATGCTCTGGATCCTAGTGGCCAGCAGTCCACACACTTGAGATATGGCTGCGGCCATCCTCACCTCTCTTGAATCTGGGATCTCTCCTCCGATACTTTCTCTGATTCGCTGCCATGAAAACTTCAGCTCTTCCCACTATCATGGCATCTTCTGGTCTTGCTGTCCCCACCCTCTGTCATTAACTACAAGCAGCCTGATGGTCAAGCAGATGCCTTCTGTTACCTCCAAGGGTTTCAACCATCAGAATCACTAGATTGCCTTGGTCACTGTCAGCCATCAAAACCTGAAGCTTCCGGGCGCCTGGGTGGCTCAGTGGGTTAAGCCGCTGCCTTCGGCTCAGGTCATGATCTCAGGGTCCTGGGATCGAGTCCCGCATCGGGCTCTCTGCTCGGCAGGGAGCCTGCTTCCCTCTCTCTCTCTCTCTCTCTCCCCCCCTCTCTGTCTACTTGTGATCTCTCTCTCTTTAAAAAAAAAAAAAAAAAAAAAAAAAATCTTTAAAAAAACAAAAAACAAAAAAACAAACCTGAAGCTTCCTAGACACCACCTAGAGCAGCTGAAGGTCCCTCACCCACAGTGACTTAAGACCCTCTCTAAAGTGCCCCACCACCATTCCAGTGAGCCCTTAAGCTAGTACATACCAACTGAAGGCTTCCAATGCCATAGCCCCCAGAAGGTCTGATGTCAAAGCCACTTCCAAAGCTGTGTGCACTCTCTTGGGGTCACCAAACAGGCAGCACAACATCAAAGTTCTTTCAGAGAATACGCAATGCTTTCCCAGCCTTTGCTAGCAAATGCCATCACTAATCCAAAGATGGTGCTGCTGCTGCCAGGACTACTTCTCAGGCCTCTTTTGCCAAGTTGAAACCCTCAGCATTATGGGAATGGTGAAAGCTCTCTGAAAGGTCACTAACACTTCTGTAAACCACAGCTTACCCAAACAATCCTTAGAGCCCCTGCCACACACAGTCTGGCTACACTGTACCTGACCAGTTAACAAAACCTCCTTAGAAGCAGATAGTTCTGCCTTAGACTGCCTCGAGTCTAGCCCTTCAAGACTACTGCTCTACAGGGTAATTTCTAAAAGGTAAGCTTACCCATGAGTTAGACAAAGTCACCCCCTGGATTCCATGAGTTTCTGTTTACATCATAGCTACTAGTTCTCCTACATTCAGACTAAGAAGCAAATCTTAGGACTGGTTTTGCTTTTACAAAGAGCTCTCCCAAAAGTTCTTCCTATCTTCCCACAAGTTTACAATGTGTCAAAAAAAATCCGTAAAAAAATAAATCCATGAACAATTACAAATTCTCCAATGGCTGATGTAGTCAGAGGTATCACACAGTAACCTTAGGCCCTGTCTCTTAGGCCCCACTATGAACTCCAAGGGCAAAACTGGCCCAGTGCTAAAAATAACCACTTATAAGTAAACCACTAAGTCACAGATTCAAGAGATGTCACCAGAACAATCACCCAACAGAAGTGGACTGGCCCTGCAGCTAGCAACCAATCCACTCACTCACACAGAAAGCAACAATGGAGAAAAGCAACTAGCATGTACACAGGAAGACAATAGTTAGGATGATGCAAGGGTGTTCTCCTAATAACCCCACAAGAGAGACAGTCACTGCCAATGAACTATTCAGGAAGTAGGAAGTTACTTCTGTAAACATACTTTCTCAGAGGAGTTAAAGTTTCTTTGGAAATTTACTCACCTTGATACAAGGAACTGTAGTCATATAAACAAATGTTTTTATTTTTGTTTTTTTAAATAGCAAAAGAAAACTCTAAGAGTAATATAATAAAACCAAATCTGAAAAAGTTAAAGCCAGGATGAAAGGACTAGCATAAAAGAATTATTATCAAAGCAGTGCTAGGAGAAGACGGATGATGTTAAAAAAAATCCCAGACACTTCCTTCAACACCATACCTTATCAATGGCTTTTCCAACACGAGAAACACTGCTGTGGATGTCTTTGTGGTCTGAGGCCAGTTTTTGAACAGTGTCCTTTATTCTCTTACAGCATTGTGTCAAAACAAGTGAAAGTGTCCCTGATAATTCAGCATCTTGGCCTATAAAAAAATAAAGAAATAAAGAGAAAGACTGGTTACTGACGAAAGCAAACCCAAAGATGGCAAAATTCAAACAGGCCGTTTAGAACATGAAAGTTGGAAGAAAAGTGAAGAAAAACAAATATCTGCTTTGAAGCAGATGGTCACATTCATAGATAACATTTTTCAAGTGAATGCTAAGAAAGTTATCTTAATTTATTTTTTGGAATAAATAAGAAAACTTTACTATGAAATAAGCCACTTTTGTAATTACCAAAATAGCACAGACTGTGAATGATACTGCCAAGGCATTTTTCAGAAAATATGTCTTACTGAATAAACTCAGTTATCCCAACCACTTAAGCTGTTCAAGTCATCCTCAATACATTTTCATTGTTATTCAATTTCCTAAAAGAGAGATTTAGTCTAAATGCTTTATATTCTGTATAAAGAAGTAGAAAAGAAAACCCAACAAACTTCCGTGGATACCATGTTGAAAGAGTGGATACAGCAGAAAAAGAGTTAACATATCCCCATCTATATGGCACAGTGAGCCATTCTTATCAGGGTTCCCCACCACCCTAACTGGTAAGAGTGGCTCACTATTCCTAAACTGTACAATGAGGCTCATGCTGAATTCCTGCTTTCCTTTTGAGACTCTGGAATTTTAGTATGTGCTACGCTGACGGTGCCTATATGATCAGTCCCCAGTGAACACCATGAGCACTATGCCTCTAATGAGCTTCCCTGGTAGATAACACTTCACACTTGTTACAATTTGATGCTGGAGGAATTAAATGTGCCCTGCTTGTGCGACTGACACTCCGCTGAGAGAAAACTCTTGGAAATTTTCTCCTGCTTCCTCTGTACTTTGCCCCATGAGCCTTTCCCCTTGGCCGATTTTGCTTTGTGTCCTTTTTGCTGTAGTAAATCTTAGCTGTGAGTGTGACTACATGCTGATTCCTATGCATCCTCCTAGTGATCAATGGAACATAAAGGTGGTCTTGGGGACCTTGATACACACAATAAATCAATTTAAAGTTACTACAGTTTATATCATCTTTCCCAGCGCTACCTCCTCAGGAAAAGGAGAGGAGAAGAAGGTGGGAGAAGAGTGAACATTTGTTAATTACCTCATATATCTACATATCCCCACCTGTGAGCAACAGGTCTGGCTTCTGAACTACAGCAGTGGTTCTTAAACTCAAATTTACATCAGAATCACCTGAAGGTCTAAGTTAAAACAAAGGAGTTAGACCTCCATCCCTTGTATTTAATTCAAGAGGTCTGGGATGGGGCTGAAGAATCTGAACAAGAACCACCCAAAATGACAGCAGCCCTAGGATGTCCATTCATCCAACAAATACTTATTGAGCAAGATACCTTCCGGTGAACAACACAAAATAAGTCAATTATATATAGTAGAACAAAAGAGGGTATATTCTATTGGGGGGGGAAGCACTGTAAAAGAGATGGGGAGTGTATGTGAGCTGAACAATTACAATCTTAAACACAGTGGATAGGATAGAAAGCAGCCATGAGGCTACTGTGGGGATGAAAGGTGGCAGAATTTGCCACTCCAAAATATGTTTCTTTGCCATAAGGATTATTTTGAGCATATTATTATGAGAAACAGCAGATACAGGAAAAGTTCTAAAAACAGAGCAGAAGTCACCCTTTTGTAAGGGAAATTTACAATTATGAGGGAAATTCCATTCATAAGTCTCCCTCTCCACCCACGTAGAGAAGAATGGCTCTAAATCATAAGAAACTTATCAGTGAAGAAGGTTCAGACTTATATTTGCATAACAAACCTTACTTTTGTTTACTGTGCATTTCCTGATAAACTGGCTTCCCCACCTTTCTTTCATCTTTAGCTAAAGATGGTACTTAAGCTTGAACTCTAAATCACTTCTTTGAGTTACTCACTTTTCTCTGAGAACCTCCCATGTATACATAAAGTATACATGTTAATAAACTGTTTTTCTCTTGTTAATCTGCCTTTTATTACAGGGGTCTCAGTCAAGAACTCACAAGATTAAAAGAAAAAGTATTTCTCCTCCCTTTCAGGGGGAAAGCATTCCAGGCTGAGAGGATAAACGTCCTTACAGGAATATACCAAGATTATTTAAAGAATAGCCAAAAAGCCAGTGTGGCTAAAGCAGATGTCTGGCAAAGAAAAACAGGAGGAGAAAAAGTGTAAGAGATAATGGGGGTCCCGATCTTGCAGGGCCTTTCTGGCACTGTAAAGACTTTAGCTTTTATTCTGCATGAAAGGGTACCACTGCAAGGTTTTGAGCAGAGCAGGTACATAAACTGACACATTTTAGTATGGTCTTTCTGACTCAAGACAGGAATACAAGAACAGAAGAAGGAAGAGAAGTTAGGAAGCTGTGGCAGCAATCCAGGTAAGAGGGCAGTGGCTCAGCCCAGGGTGTAAGATGCGGAGGTGGTGAGAAGTGTCTGGATTCTGGATATATTCTGAGGGCAAAGCCAACAGGATTTCCAGACTGAGTATGAAGGAAGAGAAGGACTCCCAGATGATTCCAAACTTGTTTTTTCAGTTTAAGTCAAGTAGAAAGATGGAATTGTCTTAAATTAGAATGATAAAGATTAAAAGCTGAGCAGGTATGAGAGGAAGGAAGAGATAAGGAGTTCAGTTTGGGGCTTGTTAAACTTGATATGTAAGTAGTCACTTCAGCGCACATGTAGAGTGTGTTAGATTTATAAACCTGGAGTTCAAGAGCAAACACAGGGCTGGATATATAAATTTGTGAGTCACTGGCATGTAGGTGATGCTTCAAGCCATGAGGTGGCTGGGTGGCTCAGTCAGTTGAGCGTCCAAGTCTTTGTTTTGGCTCAGGTCATGATCTTATGGGTCCTGGGATCAAGACCCATGTTGGGCTTTGAGCTCAGTGATGAGTCTGCTTGAGATTCTCTCTCCCTCTTCCTTTGTCCCCCTCCCTGCACTGTCTTGCACTCTCTCTCTAAAACAAACAAATATTTAAAAAAATAATAAAGCCATGAGACTAAATGAAGACATCAAAAGAGTCAGTACAAACAAACAAAAAAAAAAGTGATAAAAGATGGGAGTAACCAACTCTGTTATGTGCTCTGCTATGTCAAGTAAGATATAGACTGAGAACAGACCGCTGGATTTAAAATGTGGAAGTTATGTGTGATCATGACAGAACAGTTTCTCTACAGTTTGAAGGGAAAAAAAAAAACCCAGGAAGTTGTAAGGACTGTGAAGAGGGAATATAAGTCTAGTTCAGTGACAACCACTGGGAGATGTAAAAAGATAAGCAAACAGAAGATAGATACAAAATACCATAAGATACCCAATGCAATATGATGTAACCAAAATAAAAACTGTCCTCTTCTCTAGATACAATTGCACAAAGTATGTTTCAGGTGCTTCCAACTTCTAATAACATAATTTAGGCTAAGAGAAGACTTGGTAATTCAGGAAAAATTTCAAAATCTCTATAAAAGGTATTCCATACATACTTTGAGCCAAATGAATCTAACTGCTTCAGTAGCTCTACTCTGGTCATTTCTGTATCTAAACCTTACCTAACCTCAATACCTTCATCTCCTCTATGAACCTCTCTGCTCATAGATTTACTCGGTCTTCTCAATTCCTAATGAATTCTGTTCTCTCCACCTTTCCTCTAACACTTAATTGAAACCCACTCAACAATATCATGTATAATTCCATCACCAGTATCAATTAGATATATAAGTCCTGAGCAAAGACAGGTTCTTGTTATAAACTAAATATTCCAGTCTTATCACATGCCTTGCACAGTTTTTTCTTTTTTTTTTTTTTAAAGATTTTATTTATTTATTTGACAGACAGAGATTACAAGTAGACAGAGAGGCAGGCAGAGGGAGAGAGAGGAGAAAGCAGGCTCTCTGCTCCAGAGAGCCCGATGCGGGGCTCGATCCCAGGACTCTGGGATCATGACCTGAGCCGAAGGCAGAGGCTTTAACCCACTGAGCCACCCAGGCGCCCCGGACAGTTTTTTCTTTCTTTCTTCTTTTTTTTTTTTTTTAAAGATTTTACTTATTTATTTGACAGAGAGACACAACAAGAGAGCGAACACAAGCAGGAGGAGTACGAGAGGGAGAAGCAGGCTTCTAGCTGAGCAGGGAGCCTGACGTGGGGCTCAATCTCAGGATCTTGCAATCATGACCTGAGCCGAAGGCAGATGCTTAAGGACTGAGCCATCCAGGCGCCCTGCCTTGCACAGTTTCATACACTATTAATATAAGTATGTGGATTGACAGTAACTAAAGCAAGGAAAGAACAGTTAAAAAGAATGCCATATTTAACAAATGATGCTGGAATAAGCAGATATCCACATGCAAAAGAATCATACCATATAAAAAAATTAACTCACAACGGAATGAATACCTAAAGGTAAGAGCCAAAACTATCAAATTCTTAGAAGAAAGTGGGTGTATTCTCAACCTTGTATTGGACAATGGTTTCTTAGGTATGACACCAAAAGCACAAGTAACAAAAATAAATAAATAGGTAGAGAGATAGATAAATAAATAACTCCTAGAATGACAGAGAACTGTTACAATCTAACAAGACAACCCCATTTAAAAATGAGCAGGGGCAACTGGGTGACTCAGTCAGTTAAGTGTCTGACTCTTTGATTTCGGCTCAGGTCATGATCTCAGGGTCCTGGGATCAACCCCCACGTGGGGCTGTGCACTCAGCATGGAAATCTGCTTGCCCATCTCTCTGTGCTTTTCCGCCTGCTCACCTGTGCATTTGCACAAATAAATTCTTAAAAAATAAAAATGGGCAAAGAATTTGAACATTTTTTTCCTCAAAGAGGAAAGACAAATAACCAATAAACACAGGAAAAGATGTTCAACATTATTAGTCAAAAGAAAAATGCAAATCAAAACTACAAAGAGAAACTACTTCACACCCACTGGGATAGCTATAATGAAAACGATGGACAACAAAAAGAGTCGGAGAGGATGCGGAGAATTTAGAA